TTATAGAAGTACACTTTGTTGAAAATATAACCTCTTCTACAATATTTTGAAATTATTATATCATTAGAGAATAATATTTTTATTCTTGTCATATTGTCTGCATTTTACTGATCTTAACGCATTTTCAAAGCTGCTCCACACTAGTTCTTAACAAGTGGAAAGAATATGAGATAATACATAAATATATGCAATTATATCGATAAACATTTCAATATTATTTACGTTTTAGCGTGGAATTTCTGTAANTTATAGAAGTACACTTTGTTGAAAATATAACCTCTTCTACAATATTTTGAAATTATTATATCATTAGAGAATAATATTTTTATTCTTGTCATATTGTCTGCATTTTACTGATCTTAACGCATTTTCAAAGCTGCTCCACACTAGTTCTTAACAAGTGGAAAGAATATGAGATAATACATAAATATATGCAATTATATCGATAAACATTTCAATATTATTTACGTTTTAGCGTGGAATTTCTGTAAAAGTATAACAGATGTTGAAATTTAAGATACGTAATCACGTGACTCCAAAATATATAGAAAAGAAGATTAAAATCTCAAAGTGGAGTCAGTCGAAAAAATAATTGCAGGCTTTGCTAAGAGGTATGAACGAAGAGTAGGGAACCGCCTAAGTACCCGGAGCCGACAACTTTTGCGGACAATCTATTTTAAGAAGATTACACATAGCATCCAAATGATGTATCATTAAAAAGTTTTAGAAGTTAATTATAAACCTTCAAAAATATTTCGTCTAGCTCTATACATTTACAACAATACACGAAACAATTTAACTACAAGCTTGACAATCACTTTCTATTTACGTTTCACAAATTGAATATTGAATTACCATCTAAAATCATATTTTTCGATGTAATTTATAGAAGCAATTATTAAACAAAAGTAAATTTTTATCATAAAGGTCTGCTACAGATAAAAATGAATTGCAAACAGTCTTTAATTTTATAGATGTACAAGTAAACCTTGAACATTGCTACAAAATACACGTGTTTATCAATAACTTTGTTTAATTGATATTTTAAGGTCGCCCGAGTTACAGAATTTCTAGTAATAACTATTATCGTTGTAATATACATATTGCATGTAACATAATGTCGGAAATTGCAGCACTCTCTCCCAATAGTTTGCATTCCCCTCCATTGTGCTCGAACAATTCTCCCACCACTGACGAACGCATGCTCGCGTTCGTAATTTAATCCTTTACACTCGAAGCCATGTTAACTCTGAATTCAAAATAGTTTTTCTAACTAACGGTATTTCTATTTTTTATGACTTAAGTACATTTCGTATACACGAAATTGAATATTGTGACTCGTGCAACAATTACACTTTTAACAGTTTTTGAAATATAAACAAATGTGATTATGTTAAAATTATTTTGAAATGTTGAAAAGCACGATCTGAATGAGAACAAAAAATTAGGTCATTCTATTTAAAAAAAAAAAAAACAAGTTTGACCCTCATATGTCCTCTACGCCTCCAGCTATCCTCGAAATCAAACAACTTTTGTTTGACACTTCTTTTTCTATTGCCAAAAACAAATACCCTATTCTGTATTGTAATAACAAATAATACGCGTTCGTGTTCGTACTCATATACACACATGTGTATACTCTTTTTGATCGTTTCAGACCGTACAATTGTCTTTTTAGATGACATACTTTATCTTGGGTTCCTACTCTTTCGAAAACTGCTGGCTTTCCCATATAATCCTCTTCCACCATTTCTCCCCGAACATATACGTCCACGTGATGAACATACATTTCTTTTCCAGCAGCTAAAGCGAGTAAAGAACAAGTAACTTTGTATCTTCCTACCAGTGCAGAAACTTCTTCATAATCAATTCGAAACTTCTATGCGTGTCCTTTTGTTACTGATCCAGCTTTATATTTTTCACGTGGTCCATGTTCCTATCTTTTAATCTTGAAAACCTATTTGTTCGATAATATTTTCTTTCTCTTACTATTGTTTAATGTCGCATCGACTTCAATTACAACTCTTTGGCTAGTGGTAATACTTCCGTAAATTGTTTGGTGTCTCTTAAAAATTTCAAGATGTTTGCTCTCTCCATTTGTTCTCATGACGTTAAATCCAATGGAGAGATTAGTTCATACAGGATGGGGCATTTAAAACAGGTAACCTGAACAATTCGTTTGTCTTTAACAAAAGAGAAAAAAGTTACACGCAAAAGTTGCTTGGCTTCAGGAGTCACATAATATAGTGGTAATAATTTTCTGATGGGTGGATGCGTAGAGGTCATATGAAGGTCAAACCTATTTTATTAAATGGAATGGTATACTTTTCATTCTAGAGCCTAATTCTAAGTAAAAAAAGGAGTAACATTTGTCTCAAGCATCTTTTTGTAGAAGTTTTAGTTTTTATGATATCGAGGATCAGCAATGCAAATTTGAACAGCTTCATTAACAGAGTCAGTGTAACAAAATGTATGATAACAAAAGCATGATCAAATATCAATAATGTTGTATATGTGTGCAGATACAACCTACAAAAGGTATACCATTCCATTAAAAAAAATAGGTCACCATTTTATATGCTCCTTGACACCAAACAACTTTTGTAAGTTATTTCTTTCCCAATTGTTAAAGACTAACGAGTTATTCAGGTGACCTGTTTTAAATGCCCCAGCCTGTATTTCACTCTGTCGTTTTGATATTTTCTGCACTCAAATAGCAGGTGGTTGGTTACTGCTTTGTTACACGGTTTGCAGAAGGGTGGTTCCTTTTTTCAATAGGTGCTCGTATGTTATTTTGCAGTGCCGTGACCCGAGTTTTGACACAATTATTCTTTCCTTTCCGTTCAAGTTGTAGCTTGCCTTTTGTTGAAAAAAATTCTGTACGATGTCGTGGATTTTTGTTTTTCGTGATGTGCTCCGTATTCTATTCTATTTTTCATTGTTGACTACAGGTATTCAGATGGATAAGGCTTTGTATGTGAATTAGTAGATTATTGATTTTATGCATTTATAATATCGTATTATTTTCAACTCACTAAAATTATTAAAAAAATAAAGAAATAACTACAGTAATTTCTCCCATAGATGTTTTTAGTCGAAATCGAAACATGCAAGTAGGAGAATACTATGTCGTGCTAAGGCATGATTCATGGAGTCTCGCGGTTGGCGTTTATAGTTGCCGAAACCTTGCGCGCGCGCGCGAGAGGGAGAGAGAGAGAGAGAGAGAAAACGAAACTCTGGTCGAACGAAACTGTACCTGGAAAGGCAACAGCTAGCATGCCGGTGTACATTACTATGAATTCAACGGTCGTTGAGATTGGTCTTCTTGCTCACACGAAAGTGATCATTTTGTGTTATTGTAGTTTATTACCAGTTTATTCATTTTTAGTGTCAAGTGTTATTATTAGTTACATTAATAATTAGTGATATATAAATTGTGACAATTAATAACGTTATTTTTAATCGTTTTACACTCTAAATACATATACATACATATATTTACTATTAATATTATGTCATCAAGAAAAAAATATACATTATTAAATATGCAGCAACGCTTGGATGTTTTCAAGGATCTTCGAGGAACAGGATTGCCATCTAAACAAATTTCAAATAAATATGGCGTCTCCGTCAAAACAATCCACGAGATTCGTAAAAATGCTTCGAAAATCGATGAGTTTGTAGATAAAAGTAAATACGAACTTAAGCGACAAAGAATAGCAGAGCCAGTATATGATGAAGTAGATAAACAATTGTTGGCATGATTCGTACAAAGAACACTTGGTGATCGTATAACCGATAATCTCATATGAGAAAAGGCGACGAAAGTAAAAAAAATTTGCCGTCATGTTTGCGATTTAATGTGTGAATCGTGGCTGGTTAATAAAATTTAAAAGAGGTTATGGGATACGCTTCGGAAAGAAGTACAGAGAGAAAGCTAGCGCTGATCAAGATGGAACAGATGCTTTCGTAGTTAATTAAAAAAGAAATAATAGAGGAAGAAAATATAGGTATGGAAAATGTTTACAACATGGACGAAAGTTTCTTCCGAAGAAAACACTGGCCGGAGAAGAAGAAAAAAATCTTAGTGGACATAAGGCGAAAAAAGATAGAATTACAATTGGTTATGAGATTATGCCTATTGTAATTTACAAATATAAAAACTCAAGAGCTTCGAAACACGAAGTTTCATTATCTATAATTTTTAAATCGCAGACAAAAGAATGGACGGACAAAACATTATTTTTAAATTGATTTGAAAACCATTTCAAACTATCTGTGAAACGATATCAGGAGGAAAAACAAATATCAGGGAAAGTTATCCTGTTGTTAGATAATTGTGAAGTCTATAAAGTTTCGCCACAAAAAGATGAAGATTTAAAAATTATGTATTTACCATACAATACAATATCTATTCTTTGACCGATGGATCAAGGGATCATAGAGAAAACAAAAAGAGTTTTCCGCTAGAAACTCCTGCAACGTTTTAACGTTTTAACGTATGATGGAGAAATATAGGAGAAATATGGAGAAATGAATTTTATGTCGACTACAAAATAAAAAAACTGCATTGACATTTTATCCGAATCCTGGTCGGAAGTTACACAAAAAGATATTAAAAATGCCTCGAATAGAATTATTAATCCTGCCAGTAGCTCCATTCAGTCGAAAATAAGAGAGCTTTAACCTGATTGGCAAGACATGATAAGTGAGATCACAGGACAACAATTCGCCCCGGCATATGTTACACAATTTTTATTAAACTGTGATGAAGCAGAAAGAAAGGACGAAGACATAGAAATAAAAGAAGAAACGGCAGAACTTCAAGAAGAAGCGCAAGAATTTGGTATAATATTATAATTAATAGTAATAATTATTTGTTGCAATAATTACAATTAGGTGTAATATTTGAGAAATTTACATTTTACAGTGAAAAAGCACCAGCTTGCATACAATGCATGGTGCAGGGAATAAAGATATTTTTCTTAGGCAAGGAAAATTAAATAAGTAAGTACGTACTCATTCAATGGTAAAACTTTGCAGCCAATTTAAATATGAATTATTTACAAATTAATTGTTGAGTGCATTATTTATTATCAGGGAATAGAGGAAAACCATCACCGTAGGCCACGATACTAGACGATTCCATGGATGATACACAACAAAACAATTTAATGTAGAATATAATTTTACACTATAACAATGTGTATTTTATTTATATAATCACAGCGATAATAGAATCAAATGAATTATACATTAAGTATTAAGTAAATAAATGTAATCGAAATTACATCGTGTTCGATTTTATTTTAATCAGAAATATTTGTCCAAACAATATCATGTTTGGTCTCATTTTAATCAGAAAACTATTAGCAATACGATAAAAAAGAATCAGTTTTTAAATGTTAAAATTTAAAAAAAGTTATGCCATTGTATTATGAGTTGTCTTCCGAGAATTCCAGTCAAAGGAGCCGCGTTGCGTCACGCATCACACGCTCGACCGAATCCGTCGAAGCTTAGCATCGGCGCGGCGTAGCGAGAAAATCGATAAATTACAGGGCCGTAGCAATATCACAGCGCGAACCTGAAAATACTGAAATAGCGCGAATCCGGGAGAAATGACTATATTTGACTCATGTTGCAATTGATGACGAGAATTTTTACTTTGCATAAAGATTTGCAGACTAGTGATTAGTGTCTTGATTTCGGTTTCTGGGAGGAATGTTGCTACTTTGGTAGTTTTTTGTGTCCAATTTTTCCTGATCTATTATGCTCTGGTGAGATGGGATTCATGTAAGAATATTTCGCTTACTATCTTTAATTATTTCTGTGTAATTCCGTTTGACACATTGATTGGGTCACCCTGTATATATAGTAGTATATTAATTTGTAGTAATGTACAGGGTGTCTCAACTAAAGGAGGCCGCAGAAGTATCTCTGGTTATTTTTGGAGTTATCGAAGAAGTTATTAACAAAAGCTTTTCTGTTAAGACAGAACAGCAGCTGGAGGATTTTCGGAGATTTCAATATTTTATTATGTTATATGTATATCTTGTTAACCATTAGTTGATGCAGTAAAGAGGTATTAACCTATTTATGTCGAAAAAACATTAGTTTAGCACATATTTAGTATTATTTTTCAATAATATGCACTTTTTCGAACGGCAAAATCCACAAAAATTGTCATCTAATAATTTTCGACATATGTATATAAATACATTTTTGTAGAGCTGCATCAACTAATACCTAAAAAAATATATGGTTATAATTGAAAAAGTTTTTTTCCAGCTGCGAGAAAGATTATTATGGCTATATTATATATCTGTCTGAACAAAAAAATTTTTGTTAATAAAGATTTTCAATACCTCCAGAAATAACGGATACTTAGGTGACCTTCTTTAGCTGAGACACCCTGTATAGTAATTTATGCATAGCAATATACTCTAAGATATATTAAGATACAGTAGTAAACAGTAGTAATATATAGTAATATTGAACAATATACAGCAGTACAGTATATGTATAGTAATAATATATACAGTAAATACTTATCTAATCTCGTCATATTGGTGCGTGTTGACAATGTCGACATCTATGTCGAGAAGGCTGCCTATTTCGAGGGCTCGTCACTTGAGGTGCTTGTATATCTAACTATAGTAAATTCTCCCTAATTGACGCTCAGATTATACACAAAAATGGACAATTTGAGAAGAAGAGGTACGATTAATCGAGCTTTGCGGCCTGTTTTTATAGTTGTTAACAATCGATGACTATAAAAACGAGGCGCGAGGCTCGAGAATTTACTGTATCTATATAAACAGTAGTCATAACCCAATTTAACGAACTATATCAACAAATCTTTTGTCCAATTTTTCCCAAGCAAAAGACTCACATGTTTCCAAATTATTGAAAGTACAGTAGAACTGATAGTTAATTTATTTGTATTTTAGACAAATTATTAACACTATGTCGTCCGGTGGCACCATGGTGTCATGCAAAAACTATTTGTTGTATGCCGGTGGTTCCACTTTGGTGGCATTTTAAAAAACTGAAATAACATTTGAACTATATTTCTTGGGTGTTAAAAGGCAGCAAACTAACTATAGCATTGTGCTTATTTAACTAAGAATTAAGTACGAAAATTCTTGGATGACATATCTTAATTTTAGATATTTATATCACCGCCATCTTCGAAATTTTTGTTTAAAATCTAAAATTTCCAAGCTATTGTGCCGGCGTCAAACAAAAGAATCATATATAAGATCTGCGGACGGCATAGTGTTAATACAATAGTGTAAAATGATAGATCGAGATTTAATAAAGGTCCATGAATAATTTCATCATTATTACCTCGAATAATCAAAAGTTTAAATAACAAAGATCGAGGAAAATCCAGTTCGGTTAATCGAGGTTCTGCTGTACTTATTCAAGAAAAAACTGACAATTTCGATTCCTGTACAGTTTGTAGAAATGTGAATTTACATAAAGTTCCACAATCTATTAGTAAGCTGCACTTAACACATCGCAAACAGTGATTCTAATACTTGCTTAAAATGATTGAAGATATTTCTGGACACTATAACATTTCTGGCTACGAATACATACTTCATTACTTACAGGAAATAATCCGTCAGAAGTTTTCGACATTTTCTCTGAATTAGTTCATATATTAATATTATAAATGAAAGAGAAAGCTATTATTGTCTTTTGCACCATCAATAAAGTTAGTTACAAGGACTTGTGTTTACTTTTCGTTTTATCATTTTTGGAAAATTAAGATATATGAAAATTTAAATAACACACTCAAATAACACAGAATTAGGTTGTTATTTTCACAATCAAAATTTACAATAAATTGAAAGATACACTCTTATCGAATACAATTTCCTTTGGAATCTTTTTTTATATGGCTTTTCAGATATATATAGGGTGTGGCACGTAACTGTTGCCACGATTTCTCGGGAACTATCAGAAGTGGTAGAGTTGGAAGTGCTTGAAAAATCGTGGCGACAGTTACGTGCCACACCCTGTATAAGATAACGATGGACAAACAGGTTTTTTCATACATATACAATTTTTAAAAGAATTTAGCTTCCTCAGCAAACGTTATGCACATCATTGCAATAATTATCGCATTTTAAATAATATTCCACAAATTACTATAAATATGGAGTTAAAATACATTTCATGTTATTTCTGTGTTATAAACTAATTGGATCAAATCATTGAAAATTGATTCTTCCGTTTTTGTCAGTTTCCCGTGATTCTGTTAATTATGTATGTACTTGGCAAACCCATTGCTGCCAATAACGCGCTAAAATCAATCAGTTGGCGGAGTTATTCGGTTCAATAAAGCCCGCTAATATTTCAGTCCTACGCGTTTGCTCACTCAAAGTGGAACACGTGGATTTCACAAAGGATCCTGAAATATCGTTCAATTACAAACTGTTTGTGGTTTTACGAATTAATCAAAGACAATAACTGTTCACCATAGCCCAAAATTGTTCTTCTCTATTCAATCAAGTAATTGATCGACTATCAATATTAATATTTCGTCTCTAATAGTGGATATAGTTTTTCTTCATTATAAAATCGAGAAAAGTGAATTGTGTAAAGAATGTATTGGATTGGCAACTAAATAATCGCCGATTTCAGTTATAGATGTCTCTCACTCCCATTTTTATGATATCCGTAAATTTTATATTATAAAATTATTATTATTATTATTATTATGTTATTTTTTATTATCCGTGAATGTTAGCAACTGGACAAATTGAATGCAGCGGTCAAGGAAAAGCGACCAGCATTGGTCAATCGTAAAGGTGTCATTTTCCACCAGGACAATGCTAGGCCGCACACGTCTTTGTCCACTCGGCAAAAATTGATGGATATTGGTTGGGAATTGATGTTACACCCACCATATAGCCCTGATCTCGCGCCATCGAATTACCACTTATTTCGATCCCTGGACAACTCCCTTCGTGGTAAAACTTTTAATGATGATGACGCTGTAAAATCTCACTTAACTCAGTTTTTGGTTGAAAAGGATCAGACTTTCTACGAGCGTGGAATTTTCAAGTTATCAGAGAGATGGCAAAAGGTCATCGAACAAAATGGAAAATACATTACAGATTAAACTTCATTTCAAGTAAAAAAAATTTTT